CCAGCCACTGCCTCAGCCCAGGGGCATTGCTCTGGGTACAGCTGGGACGTTGAATGGATTTGGGGGTCCTTAAAGAGGGGCTGGAGGGTTGCGGATGTGTAGGGTGGCCTGATAATCAGGAGACACTTGACAGCCCTTGCCTTGTGACTTTGCACACCTGCAGTGAGTGGCTGTGTGACGAGGGATGAGGGGAATCTTCTGGGATGCGAGGGAAGACTTAGTGAAGCTCTCACATCTAATAGATCCCCAAAACATGTTTGTTCCTGGGGAGGATGCCGAATCTTATCCAGATATCAAAGAATGTCCCAGTCCTACCTGGAGCATCGCATCTCCAGAGTGCAGGAATCGTAATAGTCTTGAGCAAATCATCCATCTAGATTGTTTCAAAGCCAAAGATTTATTAACATTATCTGAGTGGGCTTTTCCCAAATAGACTATTTCCTAAACAGTCCAACAGGAACCTTTCGCTCACTGCATTCCTTCATCTTCCTAATGTGATTAGGACAGAGTTCGACTACTTTTATGATCCGCACTCAAAACCCTAACGATTCCTCAGAGAGTAGGAGGCCCTGCAAAAAAAAGGAACAATTGAGACATTTGCTTCGCTGCCTCCCCAGGGAGAGAAGTCAGAAGCGAAGTAAAGAGATGGATTGTGCTGGGTCGGGATCATCGTGGGCAGGAGATTGCAGAGTCATGTGCGTGATGGAATATCTCACTCACAAAAATGCTACTGACCCAATTTTTCCCCTGGAGCATGCAGAATATTGGGAGAACATTTCAGTCCTTTGTTTGTTTTTTATACACGTCGTTTGGAGGCGAGTCACCAAAGCGCCATTGGCTGGGAATAGCTTTGAAACTGAGGCCAACATTGAGGCAAGTCCGGGAGGCCTGATCTCAGTGTTGGTAAATGTATACATGTGAATTATTTACTTGTCGTCCAGCAGGAAATGAGGAACGATAACAAGCTTGGGAAAGAAAAGCAGAAAAACAAACAGATGCTATCTCACTCCCTCGTTCATTTCTTGCTTTCACTCTTTCTCCTTTCTTTTCTCGGAGGCAGTCGGCCATATCTCACTGCGGGCAAGTGGCAAAGGACGTGTCCCTTTGAAGACAGCGGTAGGCGGGGGGACATAATTTCAAAGTAAATCATTTCAATTACTTAGAGTTGGCTTATGACTATTACTTCAAAGATGGTTGCCTTGTTAAAGGGGAACTGTGTAGATATTACACATGCTAGTCAGTTTATAGGTGTTCAGGAGCTGCATAAAATCTGATAAATATCATCCAGTGATGTCACTTGAGTCAGCATCAGTGGGAGCTTACCATAACCCCACAGCCCACCCCCATCTTTGCTTGAGGCTAGTGGCTCAATTAGCTACTAGCATAACACACCTGAATTTCCAGTTGACCTGTGGATAATGTAGGCACCAGGTTGTGACACAGAAGAATAACGCATGGAATAAATAAGATGGTATCTCTGGTTGTGCTGATTTTGATATATTTTTAATTGTCCATTGCACCGTTATATGAGTGTAATGCTTAACGTTTTTGTTTTGTTTGTTCCACTATAACAAAACCGACCTCTAAGTTATTCAGTTGTCACTATGTAGCATGGCTGCTGTTTAACTGAGCCGGACCTTGTGATGATCTCCTGACCCAATTTCTGACTCTCCTTCTCCCCCTGACCTCGGCTCGACACCCCCTCTTGTCCATAACCCTTCAATCCCATCAGCCTCACTATTGCTCAATCACCTGTGACCAAGCTTGGGTGGTGACCCCTGACCCGAGAAGGTCACGATTAGAGCTGAGAATCAGAGCAGCAGAAGTGGGGACTGGGCAGAGATGAGATGCCCCTGGATCGAGAGCTTCGACCCAGCCAGGCTGAACTCTGGAACGGTCAGGTCGCCACGCCCAATATATCGATATATTGACAAGAAAAGAGCTGCGTATCAAAGGTTCTGGTCATTAGCACAGGCGGATAGGGGTTGATTTTTTTCCACTAGGGTGTAAGGATCACGGAGGAGGGAGAAGGCAGGGAGAATCAATAGAGGTTGTAGCCCAGTGTTGGCAGGCATTTTAATTAGCCTGGATCTTCCAGAGATGGCGGCTCTGGGAACACAGAGAGCAGGAGAAGAGGGCAGGAAACAAAAGAGAATCAGGGAGAAAGAGAGAGAGGGGGTGAGGGTCGCACACCCATGGGGCTACGCTGATAGCGCCAGATCTAAATATGCAGCACTAAATAAAACATTCTCTCTCATGAGACCAAGGGTGGCTGTGTCTGGTTATGGGATGCAACAAATATACACACACACACACACACACACACACACACACACACACACACACCAAATCACTCCCAGGCATTTTATCTTGTAAATTTTTGGCAATCTTTATATAAAACTTGGAATTTGGGGGGATGCACTTAAGAAGCCATCCTGTAAATGAGGAGGCAAAACGTTCCCATGCTGGGTTAAATTCTTTAAAATGTATCTCAGAGGTTCGGGGTAGACTTCACACCACTCAGGAGGGTACTTAAAAAACACATTCCTCATCATGCATGTTCGTCACCTCCTCCATCTCCATCTTTATCCTGTGCATCCTTTCTGTCTACTCACCCTACAGTCTGGCCTCTTGTTTGTTTGGACAATGAAATACACAAGAGTCTCGCAACACACATACTCCGCTGAGGGAGTAGTTGGGACTTGTATTAGAGCCAAGCTGCAGCAGTGAAAAAGGGACAGGGAAGTAGTTGGGGTCATTCATCCTCCCAAGTCCCTGCTACTGCTGCGGTCCACCTCTCATGGATCATTTCTGTGCACTAAATGAGAGCGGAAACTCTCAGCGCAACTTGTCAGAGAGATATGTCAGGTAAAGCAGATCAGAGATCATTTAATGATTAGACAGATAGACAGACAGATATTGGAAAGCATATTTTCACTTATAACAACTACAAAAAGATGTTACACGTGTTGAAAGACTCATAACATTTAACCAAATTGTATCAGAAGATATTCCACTGTGTAGCCTTGAGGCATTTAAGCAATCTTTATCCAGCAGCCTTGAGCTTGTTCAGTTCTGTAATCGAACATTTAACAGTTTATTGTGAAAATCAGCCTTATAATTGGATGCCCCTCCAAGCAACACTTTTGCAGTGCTTCATGTAGAAGTGAATAAAATTGATAAGGTTTATATGGCTGTAATCAACTTTTTGGCCATTTTGCCAGGTAGAATCATTCCATAAAAAAGTCCTTTTTAATTGGCTGTTGTTGACTGAGTGTTGATGCCTCTCCTAACCTGATGATCATGTTGCTTTCAATGTGAAAGGGCTGTTACCTGAACTGGTGTTAGCTTAGCTGATGAAATGTTTTGGGTCTGTGTTACAGGCACAGTGGGACCACAGGAGCAGTATGACAGATTATGGGACTATGAAAGCATAAAGGACCCAAACACAGAACCGAGTGACCTAAATTAAAAGTTGGTAAAGGAGTGTGTGAGTGTGTGTGTTTGGTTGTGCAATCTTTTTCTAACAATGGCACAGTGCCACGGTATCAAGGCTTCATCGTACTGCACATGCGAGAGTACCAAGTTTTGTCTTCAAACTGGCCCACCCAGGATAGACGAGCAATGGTCCTGTGCGATCAGGTGGTCTGGACACACACACACACACACAACCATACACACGCATCTAAAAGCAAGGTCAGGTCAGGTTGAGTTTTCACTCTGGTGTTAGCACTGTTATCAAAAATGCTTTCTTTGGGAGAGACGGTCATGCAGGTTGTTTGACAAAACAATCCCAGCTTAAGGTCCACTTACTAGCTTTTTCTTTGAATGAAGTCAATTCATCCACACAAATCCTATCCACTGATGATGAGCATGTCATGAGAAGGATCTGTTAGCATTGGACCTCTGTATATTTTAAGATTGCATCCAAACCACTTTTTACACGTCTTTATTGCAAGTGAAGCCTGAAAGTGCCTTCTTGACCTTGGAAATAGCACTTTGACTAAACAATCCCAAACTCAAGGTCCACTAATGAGCTTTTTCTGGAACATCCAGCCATATAAAATTGATTACATTTTATCAATCTAGCCTCCTTTGGGGTATCTAGAATGATGTTCTATTTCTCAATCAGTATGTTTAGGATGATGTGCAACTGAAATCAGAATCAGCTGAATCAAAGAAGCAAAAGGAACAGGAAAGATGAAATTGTGATCCACAAAGTGACTGAGGAGAAAATATAAATTCATGTAAGAGTCAGCAGCTGCATTACTGTCAGTGTGGTCTGCAACCAAATGATAACTGAGAACATACAGCACCAGTAAGCTTGTCCATGATGAGAGAAAAAGCAGTCATGTACAATATATAGTACATATATATATAAATGTTGTGCTGGAAATCCAACCCCAAACCCTTGCAGATGGGAGAGCAATACTTTCACTGAACTACAAATCTCGAACATGTGTGTTTGTGGGTTAATCTGTGTTAGTGTGTATTGTCAAAGTGATGAAGTTGTATGTGTTAGCATGTGTGCATGTGTGGGGAGGGGGGTACTAAACTCAATGTCGGCGAGTTGGGGCCACATTCCTTAGTTGATTTAGTGGGCATTAAGATGAAGAGGAATGTGTCAAAGCTGCAGAGGCTTTAGTCCACTGTGATGTGTACTAGCTGGGAGGAACTCTGAGGCTTTCTGACAGCTCAGACTGACGGATGACTGACACTTGGCTTAACGTGATAAGGATGGAGACCAGAGGAGAGTGGAGGCCAGGATGGCGAGGAGGTACCTGTAGGAAAATATGTGAAAAGTGTGACTGAAATGGGCAGTTTTCACTTTAGAGCTATTACAATTAGGGGAGGTAGGGTGTGGGAGAAAAGTCAAGACAGGAGAGGAGGAGAGGATGCCAGAAGTTGGGATAAACCCAGGGGGGAAAAATGTGAAAAAGAATCACATTCTCGTACACAAGGAGGGTCTGATCAAGACAAAATAACGACTCAACTCAAGAGGATTTTCAGAAGCTTACTTTTATTTGCTCAAGATGGTTTGATAGTTGAAATAATGAGATACAGAGAGAGACAATACAGAAAGATTTTTTTCTTAAGGTCCTGTTTAATACAACATCAGTCGCTGGGTCAGGTGAGCAACTTTGGCAGATTACAGTAGATCAAAGGAAAGCAACACAAGTATATTTTCTACCTCTTTCTTTTATATATTTATAACATACAAGTCATGTCTTAAAAACAGCGAACTCAAACTTCTGTATTGGACGAATGTTACAAACTAAAATGGTGCAAAAGCTTTCACCTAGGAAAAAAAAGCAGCTTAAAAAAGCATCAGGTAAGACGTGTGTGTGTGTGTTGAAGATTCACATAGTCCTGAGACGGTGTAAGCGTATACAGTATGGTTGTGTGTTTTGTGTCAGTGTGTTTCAGACTGTGTGATTGTGGACTGGACTGATAACACTACTGCACCTTTGGAATACCACAGCTCACATTTCAGACTGAACCCGCTTCAGGGAATATTGGGATAGAGATGATTTCTTGAGAAAAAAAAGCAACTTGTCAGTTAATCTGGCTGGCACACGCCACATAAAATTATAACTCAATCTATCAACCCCCCCAACTGATAACAGCAGTAAAAGCACACTTAAGAAGCACTAAAAATGAATAAAACAGGCAAAAATTTTGTTTTTTTCATACCTCTACATCTATGCTTGAGGGAACAGAGGTCTGTGTAGTGTGGGCCTGATTTGACTTAGATATGGCACCACGCACATCCAGAAGTGATAAAAAGGCAAACCACAGCCAGCGAGAAAAAGAAATGTGTACTCACTTCCTCCCGCTGTACGTAAACATGACTTTACTTTCTTCTTGTTTCCTGAATTCATCCGTATAATTCATCCGAATTCATGAAAGTGCAAACGCCATTCTTTGTCAGTCTAGAAGCATGCACCATATACAGCTGACGCACTGTATCCATGAGTCATTTACAGTTGTATGATCTCTGTCCTCGCTCTGATTTTTACACTCCTGCATGTTGTTTTTGACATAAAGCTACATGACAGCACAGGTCAAGTCAAAGTGCACAAGATCAAATAAAATGAAAGAAAACAAGCAAAATGGAAAAACAAAACAAGCAGGAAAACGAGCGCCCTGTCACTGTGGATGTAAAACCCGTGTCCTTCACCCCGCATCCTCACCTCTTCCCACCCACGGATCAAAACTCTGATGCTGATGCTGCCCTCCCCTGCTGGTGGGGCCCTGAGGGGCCGACCTGTCACACGGTGAGGGAGATGAAGCTGTTGTATCTCTGGATGTTCCTCTTGAGGATCTCTGAGCACGGCCCCAGCACACGCTCAAAGCGAGGCCTGTCCAGCTTCACACACTTGAGCGGGCCACGGGCGACTACAGTGGCTGCCCTGGGACGGTTCAGCAGCAGGGCGATTTCACCTGGAAGAGGAGGAGGAGGAGGAAGAAGGAGAGAAGGCAATCAACATGTGTTCCAAATCTGTTTAGTTTTGAGCATCTGTAAAAAAAATTAAAAAAAAACTTCTTCATGTGCATGATTTGTGTATAAAGGACAATTAATACCGTCTAAGCTTTTCAAATGAATCCAATTTCAGCATCATTAATGTATCGCTGTGTAATAAATAATTCTGATGCATTCTGATACTATTTACAAAACTGCCTTGTTGTGAGCAGCAGCTCTGATTGTCTCTTTCGTGTTTTAATTTTTTCCATCCTGCTAATCTGTTTTTGCGACAGCAGACTGACAACTAACAGACTCAAAACAGTATGCCAAAAGAAAACTACTCACGAGAGAAAAGGGCTAAATCACTGGTGCTAAGATAAGTTAATTTACTGCTTTTCTTTGTCTTGTACAATTGTACAAAGAATTTCTTCAGGTTTTGTACACATGATGACATCTTGGGATCTGGGAACTTATCCGCAGATGAATTGATATTAATAATAATAATAGTTAGTTGCAGACCAAATGTTGTTTTTGGTACTTTTTTTGTTTTTGTGTGTTTGGTAATGAAGACACCGAGTTACAGAATTTTACAGCAAAACCTCTGCTTAAAATTCACTGGGTGGAAATGAAAAATTATAATTAATATTTATAAACATTAAGACAAGTTATTCATGCTGCACTTTTTTTTTAACCATCTTTCGACCTTTCTCTGCTACGTGACCTGCCAGAGTTGCTATGTTTGTGTTTCTACTTGCACAATTTATAATTCTAATGCTAAATAACAGCTATAATATAAACCACTTATTGTTTAGACCAATAGCTTCATATGCGTGCTGCCAAACTGGAGGGGGAAAAGGCCTCATCGGCCAAGAGCCACTCACCAAAGTAGTCAGAGGGTCCAAGGCGTCCAACCTCTACATACTCCTCATTGTCGGACCTGCGCTGCAGAACAGAGGCTATTCCCTGGAGACAGAAAAGAAAAGGAGAGTTGGATGAAAGAAAGGAAACACAGACAAGAACTGGATGAGAGACAGAGAAATGAAAGCAGGAGGGGGTGTTGGTGAATAAGGGAAAGTGAGAAAAAAGGAGGAGTTATTTAGCGAGAGGCAGAAAACCATCAGGAGGATTAAGCCAAGGAGAAATTCCTTTGCTTCATAAGAACACAGGTGCACAGGATTTAGCCCACTTTTCTGTGGGACGGACACCTGCTCTGTGGGAATGAGCAGAAACAAAAAACAACACATACTCAGATATTCCAACGGGGTACTGATACAAATGCTGATTGGTTCTGCTTTATTTCCTCCAGAGTGTAATAAATACAAACATCTAAGCTAAAACTGTATTGTCCAAGACTCCAGCTAAAGTGTCCCTAAACGACCCCAAAACACCAGCACACTTTCGTGTACAGCATGTAGTCTATTGTGCATTTGCAGACACACACAGCCAGGCTACGATGACAAGGAGTGAAAACACAAACTCGGACGCAAATGCACACACACACATACAGTGAGAAAATCAACAGCTGATGTCTGCTGGACAAACTGACTGGACTCTATGAACAACCACGCTACGCTTATTACCATCACCCGCTGGTTGTTGTGTGTGTTCAAGTGTGTGAGTCATCTAAAAAGTATAACGGAGGACATCTGATTTCCGTTCACTCGGCCCAACAGATGATAACAGTTCACGTTGTATCCTGCAGCTGTTGACACACTTTGTGTGTGTGAATGAGCACATGTTTGAGTATTTAACTTTGCATATGAGCCATAAGAGTTGTACTTGTTGATGCCCTGTGCGCCCATGTTAACATGCCAAACACATTTCTCAAAAGCATGGCTGTTTGTATGTGATGGAGCATACGTTTGGCGTGCACATGTTGAAATACAGGCACAATATGTGTTTTTGATGTAGATGTCTAGACATTTACATGGACCCAAGTTCAGCTGTAATTGGTAGCAGGTAAAAAAATCCACAGGGAAACTTCCCAGCTTGTCTTGGACTGTGTCATAAAACAGACTTGACCGTTCCAGCGCTCTCTTGCTGTCTCTAATCCTTCTCTGCTCCCTCTGCCCCTTCTGCTGACCAGGCTAATAATGTTAAATATGAATATAATGAGCTTTAATGAGAACCCCCAAACTGCCAGCTCTTTGCTGAAGGCATACAAAGGTGAAACTGTATTTCAGTGAAAGGGATCCGTGTGTGACTTAGCGAGTTTGTGCTTGAAATGAACTGTGGAGAAGTGGGGGATACTGTTTAAGTAAGTGGGGCATACTGTGTGTGAGACATGACCTCCAAGTGATACTTAGCCAAACTGTGCCATAATGCCATAATCATCAGACGTGCAATGCACAAGGGCGAATTGAGCTGTGGAGTGGGACTGTAGCTGGCCATGGCTGAAGGTGATGTTATAAGTGTTGTGGCCCTACTCACATGTTCCCCTAAAAAAAGATGATAGGAGGTTTATAATGAGGTGGAAGTTTTTTCTTATGCTATGCTATGCATCTGTGAAAGTGACATTTATTCCCTGAAAATCTTCTTTTTAGGCTATTCCTATTTACTGCTCTGGCTTCCTATTTTTTAATAAGCTTAATCTAACCTAATAGACATTTTTAAATGCTGGAACAACACCTCAAATTCTGGCCTGTGGAATTAGAAAATAAAAATCTAGCACATAAATAAGCTCTATAATGACTTTTTTTTTTTTTACATAACAGCGCACTTTCAGTTGGACTTTGCAGTGATATATAAAAATGTGTGTATTTGTGTGTAGCTGGATTGGCATGATTTGACAAGTTGGACAGATGATGAGGTTTGCAGCTAAAATCACAATTTGACTGCTGCATGAAATGTGTGTGATTAGGCCTCTTGATCAAAGATTAGCCAGTCTCAGGACCTGAACTGATCACCTAGTACAGTTATCTGAACTGCCCTTAGCATGAGGCTGAAGGCTCGAGACTGGTATCTTCCTGTGTCTGCTGTCCTGCTGTACTAAAATGCTGCTATGCTGACCAGTGAGGCCTTTCATTGCATATGGTATGGCATTTAAGCCACAATGTGAACAAAGCAGAAGAAGAGGGTTACTAGACTGCAGCAAACACAGCCTACGTCAAATGGAGGGAAATGAAGACACTTATACTTCCATCGAATTGAGTCATGAGTCAAGACATGGAATAAATAAGGGTTGATCTCAATCCCTCTCATTCAAAATTCTACTCTTCTTAGGGCGCCTTGGTGGCCTAGGGGTTAAGGTGGCGACCATTTGCTGCAACTGTCGTGGAAATTATATTCCTATATTGCCTACAGAAAATGCAAATATATGTGTGGAACCTTTATGTTAATATAAAAGATCAGTGTGTTGAGATAAAAAAGCTGTGGGCTTCATGTCAGTTGTGATTTATTCGCTAAGTCCGTTCCCACTATTACATGAACTTTTCCACCTCAGCCAAGAGTAAAAACATTTTTGCACTTCTTTTTTTTTTATTTCCAACAGGGGATGTTAACACAATGACAGATAGTTACCCATCATTGCTGAGTGAAGGTTATTGCATTGACATTTCATAAGATGACCAAAGAAAGGAAATACCATGAATTATACTAAGTCTGTACCATCTCCCATGTTTGATCTGAAGTTTAACTTTACTGAAATTCATCACACCGCACTAAACAAGCGGTCTCAGTGCAAAAGTGGTATGAAACAGAAAGAGATGTGAATGGGGAGAGGATGAGGGGGATGGGGCATCGAAGCTCCTGTGTTTACAACCAGTTGATTCCTCTCCTTTCCATTCATGTCCAAACAAAGAAAGTGAGACAGTGCAGCACCGTCACGTACAGTAGTTCATTCGTGAACAGGCCTCACCCAGTGTGGTCCAGATAACCATCGCATACTGCACCACCCCAGGGACAGATATTTCTTTTGTAAACATCGAAGGTTCTCCTCACCACGCTGTCTGACACAGGGTGCCAAGAACAGGCAACAACAGAAGAAAGGGAAAGCAAACAGAAAGTATGAATGAATGAATAGTAAACAAGTAAACAAGAGAAATGGAGTGAGGAGAGGAAAAGAGTGTGAAACAACTTAAAGAGCAGGGGTGTTGCTGGTCAGATGACACTCCTTCCAGTCCTTAACCAATATGTACACTCGCACCCACTCATACCACATGCAGAGCGTAGCGAGTCGGCTCGTGGTGGCATGTCAAAATGTAGCGTCTTGCATGTACTAGGAAGTAACAACCGCTAGATCCACAACAGGCACAGAGAAAGAGAGACAGAGGCACAAGCAGAGATGGAGGAAGAAAGGTGATATCCTGAGTAGCCTGTTCACAAGGCCACCCAGCACCGGCAGTGTCTGCACCTTCTCACTGAAACGCCAACACACATATATACACACACACACACACACACACGCACGCACATAGACAACGATTCCACTCTTCCACTCTCAAAAAATTAAAGACCTGTTAATCTTTATCTTTGTTCTTGTGACTGTATTCCTGCACTTAGACAAAACTGACTTAATTCCTTAGCTGAATTGATCTCCAGTCTACAAAAGCTGTGTTTGGCTCCATCAGCTAAATTGCATGTCAGCGCATACACATAGGTTACAGGAACAGGCCACATATTGTAGACAGCCCACAGGGGATTTCTCTGCTGTATGACCCACAGGGACCCTTCAGATCCCCTCAGTGTGATTACTTTTGTGAAGGGTCAAAGGACAAATATATGATAACACACTGAGTTGTTGTTTAGATTGATGATGGGAGGAGATGAGAGTAAATGCATTAGCAGAGAGGATGAACACGTCGCCTATCTTTACTGAATTTTCATCCAGAGGCAGGAATCACATGACTTGGGCATAAGGAAGACTCAAGTCGTTAGTCTGATTGACTTGACTTCAAAATAAAACACAGATGACTCATAATTTAAAGATTAAAAATAAGATAAATAAGATTTTAAATATATCCCTCATGTGATAACACTCAGATGCAGCATGAGGAGCACTCGCCCCCGCCCTGATAAATTCTCAGATTTATTATTTATTAAATAGCAAATTCTGCTGCCTCTTTTATAATGTCAGACAGTGGCAAAGCATAAAGTGACGTCAAGGCGTTAAGTTGGGACTCTTATTTACTTCCTATTCGCTCACATGCGAAAGGCTTTTCTGGATATTCATGTATTCAATGAAACATAAAAGGTGAAAATATAAGAATACAGTTCTGACTGGCCTGATTATTAGTGTGGTCGGGAGGGGAAAACATTTCATAGACTGATCTAACATGAGAGAAATCTGAGTTTGTTAAATTGATTCTATTTACTACCATAATAAATGTATTACCTTGATTTTAATCAGATGAGCATTAAATCTTCGTGTGTTTTTAATGTTGTGCTGCTTTGCGTTAATCTGACGACACTCACTTCAGACTTGTGCCATGCTGAGTGTTTTTCAGAAATGTAAAATTGCCCTCCCATTAACTTAAAGAGATGAAAAAGAGATTTACTTGTGACTTGTGCAAAACAGCAACTCTGTCCCACCTCTGCTAAAAGATTAGTAAAGAAAACACGTAAAGAAAACTGAAAGACAACCGTGTACGTAACAAGCAGCATATCCAACATGTTTCTTTTCAACACCGTTTCAAAACGCTCACTGACGTCTGCCTCTCTGATGTTCAACAAGCTTCCTCACAACTCCTTCTCCCTCTTTTCATATGCACCGTTTTAGGTGGCAGTGGTGAGACCACAGATGACAGGGTGCTGGGCTTGAGCGTATGAACATGAGGGAGAAAGAGTGTGCATACTGGGTGCTTAGGGGCATAAGCCCTGAGGAAGGGAGGAAATGGAGGGAAGAGAGGAGGGAGGGCATGCGAGGGAAGGTGAGGCTGAGTCTTCACGGCGCTCGGAGTGCTGTAAAGGCTTGTTAGTACAGTGTGAGAAAAAAATGTAAACATGTCAGTTTTGATTAGAGTCCCATTCCCCCCACCGGGCAGAGAAAGTGATGTCTCTATACTGTACCTCCGTTTTGTTAATCCTCCCCATCAGCAGCATGTAATTAGTGATTGTGGGGTTGGTCTTTGGCTGATGCTCCAAAACCGCAGAAACAACAAAAGAGTGAGAAGAGACAGAGAGAGGAACAGGGAGGCGGGGGAGTGAGAGTGAGGGAAATGGGAGAGTTTTGACTGAACAGAGCACCGAAATCAACCTGGTTTAATGAAAAGACATAGAGGCATGCGCATGAAGGAAAAGAGGAGAGGATGGCGAAGGAGGAAAGTTGTGGCGAGACTGATATTACTGTAGGACAATCTCACACAAAATCTTTCCCTCCTGCCTTACTTGTGGTCCTGTTCGAATCATCCTCTCTCACTATATGTCCCTCCCTGCCCTCTCTGACTCATCGTGTCTCTCTCCCTCTCTCTCTCTCGTCTCCCTCACGGGAGGCTGGGTCCTCTGACCCCGTGTGAAAGTCAGCAACACACATTCCACCACGGTCCACCCTGCTCTGGGAAATTTAGGCCCCGCTGCATGAGAGACAGAGAGAGAGAGAGAGATAGGGTGAGAGAGCGAGGATGGTAAGGACTGAGAGAGAGAGTTTAGAGTAAAATGGGTGATAGGTGAAAGGGAAAGTGGATTAAAGAAAGAGGCAAAAACTACTGCAGGGTGATGACATAAAAGACGGAGCCGCTAAAAAACTATTACGCTTGTTCAGGAAAAGAATAAGAAAGTTGGGAAGTTGCCCCTCTTCCTTAGCGACGAGTGTGGATGCATCCCGCCTATTCTAAATAATGATGAGGCTTGGTGTCTGATGTGACACACTCACACAGACCTCGATGACAAACTGGAACGAGCTGCCTGCTAAGACTCCTTCCGCTCTTCTGTTCTTCCTGCTCCGTCTCTCCATCCTATAACCCCCCCCTCTCTCAAGATTCCTCTGCATATTTCGCCCTTTCTCCTCTCTGGAATGTTCAAGTCTCAGATTGATGAGTCATGAATTGCTAACTGCTATATTTGTGTCCTAAAACCCAAACTGAGTCCATCTTCTGCAAAGTCAAACTGGCTTTTAAAGGATTTCTGCAACTTCAGGAGGCTTCAATTGGAGGCTCCGAACTTGACCAACACTGGTCGGATAATGGGAGGTGTGTATGAGATATATACAGAGTAGTCTATAAATATTTGGACAGGGCTGCATTTTTTTGTTGCTTGGCTTTGTACTTTAGCAAATTATATTTGATATGAAACAATGGTCTATGAGGTTAAAAAGCCAACGAGCTCCTGAATTAAAACTTTTGAAAGAAGAAACAATACATTCTTTTGCTTACAAAAACAAATAAAAATTTTATATATAAGCAAAACCTTTCACCCTTGCTCAATTCAATACACTCAGTGCTTTTGCTGCTACAGCCTTACTTGGTCTGGTATGATCAATGGTGGCTAATGTAAGCAAAATTTAGATAGATGTTTCTGTATCTCTTTACTGAGTCAGTTCGCTGGATTTATGGCTCTTCTCAACTTTTACTATTGTTACACTATGTTTTAGCATTTATCATTATCCTGTAAATGTCACTTGTGACCACACTGAACAAAGTTCAGCTAAAGTTACATTGGCTTGCTTTAATATGAAGGAGTCTAAAGAGGCTTCACATCAGATGAACAATGTAGAAAGATTAGTCATTTTTATAAATACATATATATATATGTACATTTAAATTACTTTTGATCAGTGGATCTACATATCTTCCCTTTTTAACCTTCAGTCTGGTTTTCAGCATGTAAAACAGTTGCTAAACTGGATTTATTGTGGGTTATGTATAAAACAAAGTTCTATACCATTCATCCAACAATGTATGTGACCCTATCAAATCTTTAGAGCTGAAACTCAGATCTTTAACCATATATTAATTGTTGCATTTCAACTGCAATGTGCTGCATTAGAACAGAAAGTATATCGATGTCCAAATACTCACAGATGGCAATGCACATGTTTAAAGAGAGGCATAACTTGGAGAGTGAAAGAATAGATGAAAGAAGGATGCAGAGGAGAGGGGCACAGGTGGAGAGAGAGAACGAGAGCGAGCCAAAAGAGGTATAAGGAGCGCTACATCAATCAGCACCTTTGATAAAAATCCTTTAACCGCACCTAACCACTCCCATGCGCTGTAACCAATGCGCGCCTCACAAGCACTATTGTTGGACATAGAATTAGACAGAGAGCAGAGCAACTGACAGAGACTAGCCTTCAAGTGAGTATGAGAATGAGAGGGGAAAGTAGGAGGCAAGGACAAAACCACAGCAGATTGTGCCGCCCCCCCCCTCTTGACAGGGCTCTCTTGACTTGACCCTGGTGAAAGCTGTATAAGTATGGAGTTAATCAAAAGTGTGTTAGGATGACAGGCAGGGGGCCCTTCATGACGCTCCGGCAGGGGCCCCAGCTCCACAAAGCCTGCAGTGTGAGGGGGTTTTTCACGCAGAAATCGTGGTTGTGGTCCGGGGCTGGGGAACACCACTGGTAGTCTGTCTGCTGGTGGCAATAAAATGGGATCCGTTTCGATCTCAGCAAAGAGCCCACCAACGTCTCTGCATGATGACATGTACATCAGCCTGGGTGCCCACCTAACAACACATACACTGTCTTGGGGCCCACATGTCACGCATACAGCTTAAATGAAATGTGACGGTAAAGGAAATTTTCCACACATCCTATCTTACACAACCCCCCACACACGCACACACACACCCTCCCACAGACCTCACCTCTGTAATAATGAAGAAGTCATCACCAGGTTCTCCTTGCACCACTATCTTCTCCCCATCCTCAAACTGAACTGGCTCCAGAGCATCGGCCACAGTCAGACGTTCCCACTTATCCAAAGACTCTGTGAATGGAAAATACATACAGATCAGTAAGAACAATGTGCTGCTTACGCTGATGAATGCAACAGTAGGTACACAAACACACATGCTCTATTTGTTTGTGTGTGTTCCATGGTCTGTGGGGTTGTCTCTTGCACAAGTCCAGGAAGCTGGTGGGAACGGTAATTCCTACCTCGGGCTAATCCAGTCATTCATCAGGGACCATTACATCTAAGATCCCCCTGCCTCCTCCCTCCTCTCATGGAGCCTCATGGAGCTAAACACCTTGAAACTAACCCCTAAATCTATAAGACCTCAACTCTACTGATGCTGGAGTGTGGTGACAGAGAGCTGTCCTCTTTGAGGATTATCCATGTCTGACCACACAGTACAGTCAGGTATCCTTGAGAGAGATGCTCGCTCAGGATAAAATGGTGTTTGGGTGCTTGTAAAAGTGAATATGTATAGGATAAATTGTAATCAAATAAATATAGTGTAGTGTAAACCAAAGTGAAAACAATTTTTGTTCAGTGGCTGAATCAACTTAACGAAATCAAGTAAATTATTAAAACTAATTTAGATTGATAGGTGACTATGAAACCTAGGAGCAGATTTATTTCTAAGGCTCCACTACATTTTAAATATACATACATACATGAAGACAACTGACCATTTGTAAATAAGTCCTGCCAAAAACTTGTGATAGGATCTATCTTTTTCATTTTTTTGTTGATCCTGAGAGCTGGTGGCGACAGCTGTCTTTCCGACCGTCCAACCACATGTACAGTGACGTGGTTAGCCTGGGATATTTCTAGAAACTGTTGGTATTCAAGCTAAAACCAAAAACACAGATGGTTACACATTCTGACTGGGAAAAATATTCCAACTAAAGGAGTCTCGAGCAACACAGAACTATTGATATTTATAGAAAGATGACTCACTAATAATTAAATACCTGCACATAGAATATTCGCCCAATGAGCTCATCCTTCTTTCAGAATTCAGCAGATTATCGTTGCCCAATCTTAACAGTCTATATTCATCTACGTGTGGAATGTGACTTATCTGCAGTGAAAACACTCCTCATCTATAGCTTTGTCTAGATAAAAGGATGATTCATTGTTTTGATTTGACTAAGAGGTGAGTTAGACGCGTAAAACTAAAGCAGAATCTCTTAGTCTGAGACTGTTGTCTCCTGATGTGCTCAGTAACTGATCCCGGTGTGTCTATTTATGTGTGTGTAAATGTGTATGTATTTAGGATTAACAAAGGAGAAGTCTGGTCGGTTGGAGGTGTCCATTGTCGCTCCCGTTGGGGCCGTGGTGCCTGTTGGCCCCAGATGGATGTCCTCTGTCTGGCGGCAAGTTAAAGGCAGCAGGTCCTATAGTAGTGATCCTTAACAGCTAGCCACGTAACATGATACACAAATGTGCAGACTAAAGAACCTACATTTCACGCTTCGCAGAGCCTGCACCAAGTTGGATCACCTTGCTTCACACATACATAGTATGCCATTGACCATTGGGATGAAGCCTCTGTGTGTGTGACAAAGAACACGTTGTTTTTCCCCCCCTTCACTCCTCGACATCAAGGGCTTGTGCCCAATTTCGTGGCTATCTCAAAAATCAAAGACAAACAAAAACACTCCCGCCTCCTACCCCTCCTCCGATTGAAAGAGGTAGAGCAGAGAAGCAGAGTGGCAGGAAGAGGAATAAAGAGAGGAAAAGCACTTCGAAGAGGGAGGCGGGCATTTGAATACAGGCCTCGACAAGGCTCTCAAAAAGGGAGAAGCAGAAGAAAGGAGGCGAATGAAAACAGAGGGGACCTTGCAGAGATGTTCTCCTAAGACCTGAATTGAGTGTATGTGTTTACTCAGCCAGCTAATAACTCAGAGGGCATGGCCTTACTCTATACACCACACACACACAATCAAGTGGAAGGGATGAGACGTCAGTTCCAATTGCAACTCGTTTTGAAAGTCTGAATGAATCTCATTCGCCATTCCTCCAAACTCAATGGCCTGTGTAGGCTGGTTTTATCCAAATTCCAGTAGGAAAAGAGAGGCTTAGCTTAACTCCCTATTCTTTAATTGTCCGCACAGCGACATTGCAGAGTGTGACTGGCTTTGGTATGAACAGTGCGAGGAGATTAGGACTGTACACACAGACCCTACTCAGCTATGGGCCTTGTGTGAGAATTGTGTTTATGTGGGCTAATCTACAGTATACTGTATGTTGCGCTTTAACTGAATGCACTCTAGACTACACTGTGTAAAAAGTGAATGCATAACATGGCATACACATGCAAACATATCACACTACACTGCATTCATAAATGCACACAAAAACAGAAATGTCATTGAAAGTCTTTATGATGTGAAACATTTTGATACAGACATACCAAGGATAGAGACCTTGCTAAGGAACTCTTCGTACATCTTTCTCTTCCTCAGTGTGCTGCCCTGTAAGATAAAAAGAGGAGAGACATTCACCGACACACTCTCTCACATTGTATGATAATGAAGATGGTAATTGCGATTGTTCTGCTAAATATTGTGATTGTAATGGCTTAGTTTCAAGCAGCAGAAGAGATCTGATTTATTGCAGTTTGGTACAGTGATATATATTCTCCCTTTTATCAATAAAATATGGTTACTTAAAGTCTTGCTCATACTGTCTAACATTAGTCCTAATCTAAGGGAATTCAAATAATGACTGCTTTGGAGAGCTGCTACAGAGTCTTGGAAAACTGTACTTGTCAGAGATTTTGAAGATTTATTGCACTTTCCTTGTTATTATGTTTTACTAGTCTGCAGTCCATTTCTTTCTTTTCCACCTGAATTCACAGGTTTTCATTTTACTTTAACTTGTGTTTTGCCCACATGGGTGCATGTAGCTCATTCATTGGTCATATGTAATTGAAGCACTTTTAAATGCTGCCACCGGTCTTTAAGGCTCAAAAGTGAACAAATATTAGTACTGCCAAATTTCATGATTATAAAATATGGAAACAAAAAATGAATCTGCACTCCCGGATAATCTATGATTAATTGTGTGTGACATACACTGTACATATTTCATGGGGTCATACTTAAGGAGGTGTGTATGACTTGTGTGGTAATGTTCACTGCATGTGTGTGTCTGTGTGTGTGTGGCCCACCCCACCCACCAGGCAGGGGACTCCCCCCCCCTCTGCCTCTACCATGAACATCAGGTGCTTCCTGACAAGTCTGGGCCCAGAGAGGACCCCTTCCCTAACTGCCCCCCCCTCCCCCTCCTCATTGCGCAGAACCACTCAGAGAGGGCGGGATCATAAAGAGAAACTGAGAGAGTGAGGAGAGGCGATCTTGTCCACCCTGTGTCTGCCTCTGCATATGGAAATGATATATTGAGGCTTGGGGTGTCTTTAGTGCATAAGTGCCTGAGTCCTGCTGCTGCCTCTAATTTCATATAATTTCACATTTTGTCTTAAAAGGGGAGAAAATGTTCCCAAGTGAGCCAATGTCAAACTCAAAATCGTAAACAACTTGATTAAAGGAATTCTAGCTTGCATCGCCCTCCTGGATAAATGATTTGTGTGTGTGTGTGCATGTGTGTGTGCGCGCGCGTGCGGAGCACAGAGTCTGTTTTTAGTTCTGCCACTTATGTTTTGTTGCTGTCTCTGCAGAGACGAAACTTCATGCTCATTAAGTAAGCAAATACAAACACTCACACACATACACTACCTCTAACACAATTTCACACGCACCCACAAACACACACGCACTCCACCTTCCACAGAGATGTTGAGTTGAGCTCCAAATTTCACAGCCTTCCCATAGAGCTCCTCAGACAGGCTTGCTGAGCGTAAAGGCTTACCATGCGTACATAACATTATATTACACAGCAGGACTGATTTATGTGACTGGTGTACGAAGGGCTGGGTGGGCCAGAGTGTCAGCAACATAGGGGTTTACTGGAGTGGATGGAATGAAAATGATACTTTTCTACACCTCTGATTGTAAAATTTTCTTATTTTGTTGGTGCTCATCTTTTTTTTTTCTTTCTTTTTTTTCTATCCACATTTGTCCTCATCCTTATCCCTCCTGTCTACTTGGGAGGGCCTGAGCACATGTTTCATGTACAAAACTCCCCTACTCCTGTTGGCCCTAATGTGTTCACTCCTCCCGTGGTTAAAGATGAACCAGCCTCTGTGTCTGCTCGCTGTCTTTGAGGCAGAATCATCAAAGAGTTGAGGTGTGGAGCGAAGCCAGACTAAACCAACCGTACCTTACGCCCTATCCCCATTACCTTTATCTCTGTCCAATGCGAAACACATATCCCCTCTCCCCCTCAACATCCCTACTCATTTCTTGGTATCATTTCTTCTTGTCTCTTTTTGTCTTGTGTTCTGTTTGTTGACAGTGGTCTGTCAGTTTGTTAATGGCTTTGTCTGTAGCTGTGTGTATTTAAATACCAGATACCACAACAAGGTGGGCATTGTTTGGCTGGGGTCTACACAATGGAGGGAGTGTATTTATCACAGGGAATGGTATTACATTGTTTACTAAATGCACTCCTGGATAAGATGGAGAAACGGGGGGTGGGGGGATTTTACATGAGAAGATTACTGACAAACATCAGGAAATCCTCACATTTGAGAAACTGGAACCAGAAAATATGTGCCATTTTTTGCTTAATTAAATAACATAAAAGATAAATTTGTTATGCAACTTGTTAGCGATTCTTTTTCTGGCAATCAACTAATTGATTAATCAACAAATTTGATTCAGCTCTACTTCAAAAGAATTCAAAAAGACCTGGGGTTTCATATTACAATGGACCTGAGATAAATCGGCATAATGGTTTGTGAACTGTAATTCGCTTAGATCGACAAACTTAATATGTAGCTAACCACTCATCACTGATGTACATCAAACAAAATATTGAGCAGCCAGCAAAAGTTGATAACCTTTGAGAGAAACAGTTGCTCGAGATGGTGTTTATAGAAAAACACTAAATCAGAATATGTCAACTTATTTCATTGACTGTAAAGGTACAAACGTAAAACTATTCAGTCAGGTTATTAATATGACTGTTTGGAGACCCAGTAGAGAAGCAGAACAGGAGAGAAGCAGATGTGCAAACAGTGAAACCGATGGTCCCGAGCTCCTAACTAACTAGCTGCAGACACAGGCACTCAGCATAATTTTACTGGGAAACACACACACATACTTAGACATACAGAGAATGCTCATTGTGTTGGCCTAAGACGTTGCCAGAATACCACACTTTATAAAAACAGCTTTACAAATCATTGACAGCAATAATTAACTACAGGTTCACATAATTGAATTCTGCTTCACCCGTCTCCAGTCCTGCTGCTGCTGCTGCTGCTGGAAGGAACGAAGGAATGAGAGCTGGAGAGAGAGAGAGAGAGAGAGAGAGAGAGAGAAAGAGAGAGAATCCTCTAAAAGAAAGGTTACCAGGGCAGACTGTGCCCTCAGTTCAGCTATGTGCTTAAGAGGTGACATGAGTGCTGGGCAGGCCTGTGCCAACTTTACACTGAGCTGCAGATTCCAAATACAGAACTTCTTCCATCTCTGCGGGTTCAAACAGTTTGACACAGAGCAGAATTTTACTGATGACGAAGGCTTAGATGCACAGTAGTGTTTGTAAGGTTAATTGGGGGCTATCTAATCTAGTTGGAGTAAAGTGTTAGGGACATTTGAGGAAGCCTTTAGTTGGGCATTGAGAGTAATACACACACACAGCAATTAGTATTTCTAACAGCACCCAAAATGTGTATGTGTGTGTGTGTGTGTGTGTGAGAGAGAGTGAGAGAATCTGTGTGACAGCTAGGGCAGAGCACCTTGTGTTTCCAGTTTAAACATTTAGACATTCCTGCTAGATAAGCTCCTGGAGCAGGAAGTGTGTGTAGAGGCATTAGGATTGACCCTCTCTCTCCTCCATAACACTCCCTTTTTTGCCTCTTTCCCAGTTCTTCGTCTAGCAACAGATCTAGAGAAACACTAAAAGGGAGGACACGCCAAGCGGTGGAGGTGGTTTTTTATGTGGGTCTGTGAATGCGTGTGTGTGTGTGTGTGTGTGCGTGTGTGTGTGTGTGTGTGTGTATTTTGAGTATAAAAACGTAAGTAACTGTTTTAAGTGTTTAATGAATCTTAAGTGGTTGAGTGGGAGAAAATATTGCAAGTGAAGGACCACAAATGATAAGAGTGTAGAGAGTCTCCTACAGCGCATTTTTATTGTGTGTATATCACACAGTATTGTGTCATAGTATGCTACAACAAAATATTGGAGCTTTGTAGACTGGAGCATATTTTCTGCTGAATAATGGGAAGAGTATAGAATGTCATTGTGCGTCGTCCTGCATACTTTGGAGAGAGGAGAAGGAGGGTCCTACCGGATTTTTTTGTCCTAAGAAAGAAATTAGGAAGGTGCAATGCAAAGGCCAAAATGTTCTAAGAAAATATATTTGAATATTTGAACTATAAACTTGGATATCACTTCCTTATCTCTAGTGTACTGAAGAATATTGAAGATCGATAAAGTGACTGCTTTTGCAGACATTTAATGAGGTACCCCAAGAAGTACCCCCGAAAAGAGTGTAAACACTGATATTGCTGTTTCTACTATAATTTTTTTTCTGATCTGTGATGCAGGCTGGCAGGTGCTGGACTGCTCTCTCTGCAGCCTGCTAAACGTTAATGTGTTTGAGTGAGTAGCGCTATAGAGCTGTTTTCCTGAATTAGTCACCGTTTTGTTTATCTCCGGTTTCACACCATTACACAGAGCTACAGGTGGAAGTAATGCGCCGAGATATAAGAGACAAAGACAGGAAAGAAAAAGACTGCAAGCAAGTAAACCTGAATCTAAACTAGGCATGATACGTACTTTAAAAAACAACTTGTGTTTTATGTTTTATGAGAAATGAAATGCATTCAACATGTTTGTTAGAGCTCAAGGATACACTGTGTTTTGGTGAAAAACACTGAATGTAAACACATTTGTTTATAAGAAAACTCCACAGGGCACCTTCAATGTTAACTTGAAATAATGGCTACCTAACCCGGTTGAGTATTAGCCTGAGATATAGTGCTGCAAGCTTGAACATACCTCAAAGTGTATACTGATGGGGTATAAGTCTGTGTTAAAATTCATACCATGAGGATGCGCCGGTAGCTGTCTCGGTCGATGCCCCACAATTTAAGATCAGTCTTGGCCTTGACGGTGGCAGCTCTGGGAGTCCCATAGATCAGGGCCAGTTCTCCAAAACTACCTCCTTCTCCAATACTGGTCACCCACTCCCCGTTCACATACACCTGCAGACAGAAAAAAAACACTGATGGTTAGGGTTTTATATGACCTTAAATGCTTCTCTAGAATGTCAATCATTGCTGTGTAGACTGTGAATAATGTAACTGTTTCATTTCAACTCCCGCTCTGTCCATCCTGAGGCAACTTTCCCGACCCTTCTCCTCCCTCTCTTTCTCTCCTCAGTTTGCGGGTTGTTTGATATTCTCACTAGGCTTGTCCCTAAGCATTTGATCCCCACTAAGCCCTCAAATAAGACCCTCTAAAAGGCCCTCTATCCCTCCTATCTCTCCATCCATCCCTTTCATTTTCTTTTTAGGACCTTCCCTTTGATTTGGGAGTGATGGAGGACACAAAGCTGTGGTTGACTTTGTGGGTCTCCTCTCAGATCAAAAACCACATACATGCACTCACATGATTGTTCACCTCCATGAACGTGCACACATACGGCTCTATTTAGGCCAGCCACTATAGCTCTACAGACAATACAACCTCATTCAGAGTCATTCAGGCTGTCTCTAGGGCCGTTACGGTTTCACCTGTCGACACACTATCCACTATCTTGTTGACTTAATAACGCCCAGAGAAAGGAGGCGAGGGAGGCAGGGAGGGAGGATTTATCCCTCCAGTGGCTGTGAATTGCCAGAATTGTTGCAAGCCATTTCCAACCACATGGGACTCATCCCTCACTATAAACTGGGGTGGCTTCAAAGAGATGCAGAGTGCTGGTTATGCTTAGAAGAACAATCGTATGAGTGTTGCGAAAGTGTTACATCAGAGCATACAGGTAACAGTATTTTTTACCGAACAGTTTCCCGTTCTAGTCCTCAAGTATCTCCTGACCTGCAAGTCTTTGTTCAGTCTTCATTGTTGTCTGATCCCATAAGCTCCCACAAACACATTCATGCAGTTCCTGGTCAGGTGGAGCCGTTTCAAACGAGTCAGCATTACATCCTAACTGGATCAGGTATGCAAGTGTAAAACTGGAGCAAAAACTTGCAGAAAAGGAGGTACATAAGGACTGGAAACACTTGTGCTGTCAAGAGGCAGCACTGTGCATAAGGTAAAATGGAGTTCATGATGAAAAAGAAAATTCATGGCTTCAACAATGTACGCTGTTTCACAGCTGTCACTGAGTTTTTAATATGTGAATACCTCCAGCAAACTGTGTGTGCCTGATGGTAATTAAAAAGCAACAAATCAAAAATACTGGAAGGTGGATGAACAGGCAGTGTTGCTGTGTATTTCTGTTTGTAGTTACGTGGAGTGTGTTTCTTTGTGCATGCCCCTGAGCTGTGTAAGTGTGTGACAGAGAAGGTCTGTCTCTATTTGTTGTCTATTTGGCAGCAATTACTTATTTAATTCCCAAATGTTGTATCTACCACTAATAAAAAATAAAATAAGGCTTCTCCCTACAAAATAATTGCTTGCATTAACCTGTTGGAAACTGCCACCTTTTTCCAGGAAAAAACGCCTAATATAACATACCTAAAATGAATAGGAATAAGCCTAGATGCACAATTCTGGTCTCATTTGAAAGGTCAGAAACTAAGGAATATAAAACCATTTATAATAATCCATCCGTAAATTAATATATTTATTTTAACATTACAGACTAAATGGAGATGCAATAAAGAAAAATATTATATTTTCATCCTTGCCTGGTAAAAAAGCTATCCTTTAAATGCAATAAATTATCAAAGCCATCATCACAGATTAGAATGCAACTGAATATCTTCTAATACACCTGGAATGCAACTGTTACAGTAAATTTGATGAAAATAAACTAAAATAAAACAGTTATCATACCATTTTTTTTTTTAAATATACCCGGCAATTATATATTATCAATATTTACTGTTTAAATGTTGACTTTTATTGGGAGTTATCTTTAAAACACTGTTTATGTCCATACAACCACGTTCCAAATAACATAAAGTTTCCAAAACATTGAAATGTTGATAATAACAGTGAATATTCATCAACATTACTATGACCAAAAGCACTCCCATGCTTTACAGGCATATAACCTGAGAACAGAATGCATTTGATATGATGGATGGTCTTTGTAGCTATTATGGTTCGGCTACCAGACCACGATAAAGCCCGTGTGTTCCAAAGCAGCGCTTCTCCTCCTCTGCAGAAGGCGAGAGAAGGAAGGCACAGCTCCCAGGTATTGTGCAATAATCAACATGGCGCCCAGGGATATTTTTAGAAACAAATCAGCTGATTTTTGGACTGAAAACGGCGAAAACAGCTACAGTATGTCAGCGGTTGTATGCAATTGTGTATGTATATTGGCGCATTTGTTGTTACTTTTATCCAGCTAATTAGTCTGTAATTCTGATGATTTAAGTGATGTGAGCTATACAGCTGATCTCAGGGGGAGATTAGCTTTGGTTTGAGAGGTTGGACATGAGGATGCATTGTGATTAGAGATAACTGGATGCTTATAACTGCAGCAGTGTACAGTGCTCACAGAGCAATTTATGTTGTGATATAAGCTCATTTAGATGCTTGATGTTTGATGTGTGTTTGGTGTGGATAAAAATGGTGGATAGGGTGATGCAATACTAGTTTCAGACATGAATCTCCCAATACAGGGTGCATCTGGGTTCAAGTTAAGGTAAAAGAACTTGAATGAATTACATTAAGTCACCAAATATCCAAATACGATCATCTGCATTTAGCATTTATTAGCATTATGCAAACATTTAATGAATTACACCACACTAGATTGTAGCTGTAAGCAGATTTAATGTAAAGCATTTGTCTACAATTAAATTGTCTCTTATTAAGAAAATAGTTTATATAATTACAATTGAGTTTTACTATAATGTGATTTATTATCTGTATATACACCTGTCTACAGTTGCCCATAGGAGGAGTTACAGTTGCTGACAAATACATTAATACATACTTATATCAGCTTACAACTACGGTATAGTGTGTTATATCTATAGTTATACATCTATTATGTATACTTCTTATAAATGCTAAATAGGAGGACTTAAAGTAAAGTGTTACCAGATACTCAATATTTAATTACAAATAGCATTTTTTTCCAGCAAGATCATCTCGCATTTTGGAATGAAAGCTTTCATTTCCTTTGTGGTGCACCCATATAAATACAGGCCAATGTCTGTAAGTGAATACATTTGTGTGCAGACATGGAGGGGTGTTTACATCAGTGGCAGTGGTTGTCAGCTTTCAGGCAGTTTATGGGATGCCAGCAGATTTACACCCCCGTCTAATGAGAGACATCTCCACACTTTAATAACCTCGGCACTGAGCTTGAAGTAGTTTAGTGCCGGAGCTGTGGCTGGGAGGCAGCAGCTGTCTGTAGAGATAGAGGGGTGGATTGTAGGGTGAGGTGAAGGACAGACAGATGAGCACTGGGGTGAGGCCAAGGATAGAGGTCTTCCCCCAACTTGAGTGCAGAATGATAGGATCCTGGCTGTGGGAGCAGCACCAGAGCAACTGTGAATCTAATATAAAGTTGGGCTGGAGACAGTTTTATGGAAAATATAAGAAAAGATTGTTAATGTCAAATATCAGTATAGGATATGTTGCTGCAACAAAATTCATCCAACTTGAGTTCTGAGTTAAGGTTACACAACTTAATGAGAGTTGTAAAGACCAACTTGTGGTAAAAGGACAGGCTCTTCTTTAAAACTAACTACAGTGGTTTCAACACACTGACTCGTTGAAAAGAGACAAGCCACAGGCTGTAGGATTAGTGGTGATAACAAAACAGTGTTCCCCACTAAAAAGCCTCCATTGTGAGAGTGAGATTATCACACATATATATATATCAGATATATATATATCAGATCTTTCACAAAACTACCTAACACTGATGATAGCTGAAGAAAAGAGTAAAAAACAAACATGGAAGGAAAAAGAAAATCTGCTAACAAAAAAAAACTTAATTAGACTAAACGGTAGGGCAAATTTTGTCGAAATTGCAATTGGTCTACTGCAATTTTCAAATCGCAGACGTTGCAGTATTTTTTATAGGTTATATATAACTAAAATATAATTATAAATGAAATATTGTTGTGCTACAGAGATGTCCTGGTGTATATATATCATATTCTAGAGACTTGAGAAAACATCTTTGTTTGGTACAGATGTACACAAAAATAATAAATCCATAATAAATTTTTAATAGGTTTTTACATGAAAATGAGAATAATTATGTAAAAATGCAAATCATATCGCAATTGCGATATCAGTCAAAATAATCACAGTAAAAATTGTTGAGCCACAGGCAACGTTTTATCAGGCCTAAAAGACGAGGCTTGTTCTCGTTAGTAAAGTTAGGGAGATATCATCCAGTGTGCCGATAGTCTCTGCTGTGGACCTTGCTAAAAAATAGAATGGTTGTGCACACAGCTTCCCTTCTATAGAAAACAATCATGCCATTAGTTGTTACGCAGTCCTTCTATCAAGGCACCATCTCAGTATTTCTACACACTTCTTTCTGTCTCAAAGGTGGGTCGTCTATATCGGCACGCTCAGCCCAGCTTGCCAACCTGCTTCTCTCCTCTTACCCACTGTCTCCGTGCTTGCCGCTGTAAGCCGATAAGGTCACTTCCTGTTTAATTTTCCGACAGCTCCTGTTTTATCTCTCCACTTAACTCTATCGCTCTGTGTCAGGCTTGCTAAGACAAAAGACGTTCTCAGTTTGGCTGCCTTCACAGTGGGCTAGCCTCTAAAGCACTGTGTTCAGATTGTCATCGGAGTGGAACCAAACTTTGAAGAGAACAAAACATGGGGGCAATCCAATACAACCTGTGCATTGTTAGAGGGAAACATTGTCTCAACATGAGTGGAGAGGCAGGGTTTTCCCACTGAGTCAAAATCCTTCTTTTGGCCAACACTTCAAAACAGGTGAATAAATGCTAATATTGGCACACTCCACCTTCATTTGTAATAGTTTGCTTTAGTGAATTTAAAGTATAACGTAAGAAATTAGAGAAATTTTTTGTGTGTGTGCTTGTGCGTCCATGTCAGCCACTTACATCCACTTCACCTTGGTCAATCACATAGAAGTTGTCTCCTTCATCGCCTGGAGGGAAGAAAAAAAGGGAGAAACACAGGACTTTGTGTGTGAGAGCAGAAAAAAGCAGGACTTGGAGCCAACAGGAAAGCCTACTCTTCCTATTACTTCCACCTCCTGCTTAAGTTCTCAAAAGGTGGATTTTTAAACCATTAAACCAAAATGGGTGCATTAAGGGATTAAAATCATTTGTCAAACACTTGGAATACCACTCTCTGTGAGCTGGGGGAAGAAAAATAGGTTGATAAATTGTTGGGATTTATCTTTCCCTAAACTTCTACATCAACACACACACTGTCCTCCTCATGTCTGTCAACTTATATCCCTTCTCCTTAAAAGAACAACTGTTGAATTTCTTGTCTTACTATCATTTTTCTGTGGGTCTTTACAAACTGAGGGCCTCTAAAAGCTTCAGGGCAGACCCAGAATGCATATTTCACTAGGCCTGCCAATATCTCTGTGATATAGGGCTCTTGCCATCAGAAAGTTGCAACAACAGCAGTGCTCATTACTGCTGCTTGTGTAGCCTAGTAGTGGAAACTCTGAAACAGCGATGCCTGAGAATGCAGAGCTACAACACCTCAGTACAGATTCGTAGTATGCAACCACAGACATCAGCTTCATTTATTCTGTTCGAGACATTGCTACTCTATATAGAAAAGTGACACAGACACATTTTCTATTAGGAAGTACTCGTACTGAGATCCATGTTTTTTTCAACAGAAACAGACAAAACAAGGCTACAAAGTGTACATCCATGCTAGCAACCACATGAGGCTGTAATGCTCAATTAATGAAAAATAGAGACAACTTGGTGTTCTTAGAGCATAGGTCAAGGTAGTGTAAATACACAAATGTCAAACAGTCTTGGTTCACTGTCCCATTCAATAACTCAGCATTGCTGCAATCTCTGTGTCATTTTTGATCAAAACCTCAGCTTAGACAAACATGTTAAATCAATGGTTGAATCCTGCTTTCATCACATCAGAAACATTTCGAGGTCTAGACCTTTTCTTTCTGCCAAAAATCTGGAAACTCTTATGCATGCCTACAGAATTAGTCGGTTAGATTATTGTAATTCCTTGCTCTCTAGTATCACCAAGAAATCCCTCTCCCGTTTCCAGCTAATCCAAAACTCTGCTGCCAGGATCTTGACTCGGTCTAAGAAACATGATCATATCACACCGATCCTAGTTTACACTGGTTACCTGTTGCTTTTAGAATAGATTATAAGATGTTATTGATTACTTACAAAGTCCTGATTGGCCTAGGCCCAATTTATTTAGCAGATCTTTTAGTACCTTATGATAAATAACTGTTTTTTGTAAACCACTTTGTAACTGTGAAAGTTGCTATATAAATAAAGTTTATTATTATTATCATTAACACAAGCCGGGAAAAAATGTTTGGTTTGCGGACTGGATCCCTCTTCTTTCTTTACCAAGGGCATGCTGAGTTTTCGAAGCGAACCCTAACCCTTGAATCGAGCAATGGGATCTGGTTGGTTGATGTCTGCTAAAAGCATCCAGTCTGGAGATAAGGCTGAAAAATGGTAAAGTGTTCCTTTAATTATGCTATCCATTACATAGGGATCAAGGGAAATTATTGAAAAGGACTGACAGGCACATACATGAGCACTGTGAAGCGCTCCCTGCATCTACCTCTTACAATAAATACAACTCCATTCAGAGGTACAAGTTGGTAATTATGTGTGAGTCTATATGACACAAGTATGCATGTGTATGCTTCTCTTAGGTACCGGGGTGAGGGTGTATATGACTGTGTAAATGTGTTCTTATGTGTATGTTCACCTGAAGACTTGAAAGGCTGAGAGCGCCCTGTGTGTAAAGTTCACAGGAGTTCACACGGCTAATTAATACTGAGTGGAGAGGGCTCGTTAATCATACAGCTCTATTTGTCACACAAAATGCTCCTTGTCTGTCTGATGAACCTTCTCAGTGGAGACCCCAGAAACACACACACACACACATAACCTGCTGCAACTTGGCCCGCTCCTATCTCTCTCTGCCTTTCTATTCTTCTACTCTTCCTGTCTTTTATCACTTCGGTGCTCAAATCTTTGTTTTGCGCCTTTCCATCCCCCCTGTGCCTGAGAGTGCAGGCAAATATTTGACCTGAACGTGCACACACACATAGATACATAGACACACACACACACACACAGATACATAAACTAATGTTGTAGTACTCGAGACTGGTCTTAAGACCACTTTTTGATGGTCTTGGTCTCGTCTCGGACTCAGACATTGAGGACTTGGGATTTTATTTCAAGACCAGTCAAGACCATAACTTTGGGAATATCAATAAATTACTTTTGCATTGTCTGATTTATTTGTTAACATCCTAACTTTGATTGGATGTAAAATGTATTTCTTCAAATGCAACCAATAACCCTAATTAAAAATATGTTGTTCCCCTTAACGACTGTCACCCCTACCCGCGATGGTAAGCATGGTAAAGGAGTGTTTGAGAATTCCGCATTTTAGTGTGCGTCATGTAATGTGGGGAATTGGTCTCGCCCTCCCTCGGTCTTGGTCTTAACTTGGTCTTGGATTGGGCAATCTTGACAACAACAATAACATATACACACACATACACAAACACACACACATAAAGGTAGGCTGGTGTACTCAGCATGGCCTTGTTTCGACACAAGCTAATTGTCATACACACTGTTAAGGTTCTTTGGCTTTGGTCAAAAGGAAAACATGGGTTACAACCTCTGACTTTGTGTTTTGTACCACGATGCTGGTGCACCGTTAAGGCAGATGTGTCCATCTTTCAGAACTGATTTCATGTTGGAATTTGATATTTCACATGTGGAATCATACATAATATGTTTCTTTTACCAACAAACCAATCGCTTATAGCTATAAAATTGGATATATGTCAGAAACAGCAGATTAAATTAACCTGATGTATTACATTAGACAGTTGATTAGAATGAAATAAAAATATATCTATTCCATTTTACATTATGATAGAGTAAATTCTACCTTTGTTTAAATACTATTCGAGGCACAGCGTCGATAACTCTTGCTGTGTCTAAATAGTGTGTGATGGACCAGTGGCAGGGGTGGGTTTTTTTGAACCTGCACAGTAGTCCAGACATTAGCAATGACATCGGCGCTCTATATACTATATACCACACACTATAGTGTATATAACAAAGGGCTGCCTGAGACTGGGGGCCCTGCAAAGTCCGCTAGACTTATTATCACCAAATTAGGACTGATATAGCCTTCTCCTGGATGCTGTCTTAGAGTAGGTGGGAGTTATTGAGCGAGTGTGTGATCCAGTGTGTGTCCGAAAGCTGATAGTTTTGATTCACTCATTGTCTAAGAGAGTGTGTGCTTGTATGGCATGCTCCACAAGTGTAATCTATGTGATTCATTTATGCAGGTGTGAACACAGTATTATCTGAAAGTGGTCATTTGTCTGGGAGAATGTGTGTTTTCAGTGTATCAAATATGTGTATCTGTGTTCGGTAGGAGTTTGAGTGGGTGAGTGGGGGGTGGGGGTTACTGGAAAAAATACAGTCTGGCCCTGCTAAGCTCTGTGTTCCTTCAAAGTCCAGGGATGTCTGGAGTGAAGGCTTTGACGACTGTGGTTAGGCAGAGGAGAGGGACCTGATGTCTGGTGCAGACAGGGGCAATGTGTGGGGCTTTGGTATTTTTCTGACCATGGAATTCACTTTGTCTGTGTTTTTTTAGTGCCCAGTGTAGAACACATGGCGTACAGGTTAGAGAGAGGCGCAAACAGATAGGAGGTTCATTCAAATAAGGCAGTGCAAAGGAAGTTGTTGGTATTTGCTGAGAATAGATGTCGCAGAATACCATGTTTCTGGTGCAACGCTGATCTGCTTGGATTAAATGCTTGGCAATAATGGTTAAAATGTAAATAAACATTTTTAATTAAACCACTAGATGTGATTAAATACGCATAAAAAAATTATGTTAAACGTGGTTAAAGGAGAAACATCTGTAAGTCTGCATTTAACTATAAGTTAAATAGCTGCTTTATACTATATGAAAAGCTTCTTCTGCAGTTCATTAAATCCCTGCAGACATCTGAAGGCAGCAGTGCCATTAGGCACAGCCATCTACCCCATTTACACCGATTAAATTAAATGCAAATGACAACAGGCTGCTACAGAACAACCACATACACCTCTACACACACGAGACTGGTTGGCTATATTTGCACATTTTTTATTCCTTAGTGCACTATACAGTACAACACACCAAACAACAAATTATTCTTCTCCAGCGTCTTGTCTTTGGTCTGGAACAGGCCAGAGATTCCCATCCTCAACCTCCTTTTCTACCTCCTCCTCCTCCCTCCTCTTCCGCCCTACTCTTGCTCTGTCTCTTCTTACTCTTCTTCCTCCACCTCCTCATCTTCCTCCTATCCCATCTCCTCCTCCAACTCCTACTGTTCCTCTTCCTTCACCTCTTACTCCTCTCCTCCTCCTCCTCTCTGGTGTCCTCTGCCTCTTCCTTCAGGTTTCTCTGGATCCATTGTTCCAAAACTGAATGAACTGACTCTGGCCCTTTTATCTATCTATTGAAGGTTTTGATTGATGTGTTATCAGTTATGACTGTTTCTGTTTCCACCTGGGTAGCTGTGTGCTAATTGAGCTCACCCTGTGCTGATTGAGTGAACAATATTGAATGTTAGTGTTTTCTCAATGACCAGATGGTGTAGGCAATGAGAAATGAACGGATTTGTGTGTAGAGTTTAGGGAAATGGGTGTACGAAAAAGTTTTGGTTATGGTTTTGAAAGTTTAGTTGTAAAGCCTGGTTAAGCAAGTGAGAAAAACTGTAATCACCACACCCTCAGATCTATTTTAACATATTATTAATTCCTGAAACCCAACATATACTGTTGCACATGATTTTTGTTTATACATACCTTGCTGGATAACTGTTTCCCCTGCAATGTGAGTGACTGGGAACATGGCATCAAATATGTCACTGAAGGAGAAAGAAACAGAGAGGGAGAAGGGAGAAGGAAAGGAGAATACAGTTATAACCAACATACATGCTATTATGGCGCACACACAAGAGTTTGTTCTGTGGAAGAGATAATGGTAAAGACGGAGCAGCCGTCATCACTGTGTCAACTCTATCCCTCAGTATACCACAGCCAAGGGGACAGTCCTCATTCCGCACACACAAGATACCCGAATGTGTAATCACCAAACAAACCCACTATCTTCAGTTAAAAGAACAAACATATGCCAATGAGAACATCGGTTTAACGGTTTAATCCACCACAGTTTTGTTCATTGTCAGGCTCAAAAACATAAACAATATGACACTATAATTGTTAAATAATGATTACTACTTATCTATTACTACTGGTGCTTAGACTGAACTTTGTGAACTTTGTCAAGTACCAAACATAAGAGAACATTATCACCAGATAAATCAGCATTACAAAGCTTAGCCACTTTCTCTGCATCTTTACACTGTATTGGAACTGCACATTGGCTTAAACACGACTCTGTGTTGATTCAGCACATGATCAAAGCCTTTATCTCTGAGTGTATCTTTAGAAAGAGGCGCTGAGAAAACAAACAAAATGATGGCTGTGCCTAAGCACTTCATTTATGTCTCAGCCCGGCAGGGAAAGCGCCTGTTAGACTGTTCCTGATCGGGCTGTTTAAATGCATGAAGCCTCAGCAGATTAAAGTTCCACTGCTGAGATGTGTTGGGACAAGAGAAAACTCAGTATCCTTCCTCTCCTCCTCTCACCTCCAAGGTATTTATCTATCTAATCAGTTACATACCTCTCGTCTAAAAGAGAAATATAGGAGAAAAAAAACAATAAAAGAAGGTCAGGCATATCAAAGGCTTACAAGACCTGCTGAGTGAATGTGGGGCAAGTTACAGCCCGTTCTCCGTTATGTTTCTGTGTGTGTGTGTGTGTCACTGAACGTATGTGTTTACACCAGTGTGTCTGTGTCTGAGTATATATTGTCTATGAAAACACACAGGTTTGCACAAAATACCGTGTGGGTGTTGAATATGTCTGTGCTCATGACAGTGCACTGGGCTATGCAGCACTTTGAAATGAAAGGTTTACACAGCCAAACACACCTTGCTGCACACTACAGACATAAAAGTGTTGCTTTTACATGAACTTCCCTGGTAAAAAAAACAACATAAAAACAAATAAACTGCAGCTCAACAGATGTTGGGGAGAGATCTGAGGATGTTATTGAGTGATTTGGAAGTGAACGGACCCTGCTGGTGTTTGTTTATGTGACACTGAATAAAAGCAGACTTAAAAAGGTGGATTTGGGCCAACTACACCCACAGGTAGGCTCTGTGCGATGCAGCTGGCCACAGACTCCCACATACACTCCAGCACACACAGTGTACACATGTGAACAAAAAAACCCACTCACTCTTTGAAGTGTCCAAGCACAGGCTAAAAGATGCACAGACACACTCTCACATCACAACCTCCATATACAGTAACACGTGTGCTACATGCAACCAGTACACACACATATGTAAGTCAAACAACATATTTAAGCATATATTAAAACACATACACTGGCACTCTCATATGACACACAAACTCAAAACGCTTTGATGGTCATTAGTCAGAGCAACATCTGCAGCAACTCTCCCCACATCTGTGACCACCTGCGCTCGGCATGGAGTCTGTTTATTCAGGGAGCTTTCAGAGCAGTCGGCTTCAAGTCACGTGTAACTAGTAATGTGTAATTTACAAAAAGAGGAAATTCAACAGGAGAACAGAGTAAAAATACCATGGGGGAAATCAGCGCATACAAGTAATTAACCTTTGTGTCGTATCTTGATGTTGAAATTTCAAAATCTGTATTTAACTCAAGATAGGTTGTGCTTTGATTTGAGCCCCCTCATAGTGGTGATGGTGATGATAGTGTCGATGATGATGATGCATTGCACAGCTAAGTAGGATGCTCAAGACCCTAGACACAGTCATAGCAAGAGGATCAAAGGCAAGCGAACCTGCATTTAGGCAATTACCCTTGGCCACCTCTCTCTTTCCATGCCCTGCCTGCTGAATGCATCGGTGAGCACAACAAAGACACTTATGCAGGTAATTACTTCCCCTCGTCTCTACCTGTCTCTCTTTCCCTTTCTTAATCCCCAACTTCCTCCCTGTCTGTTCTCGATAACTTTTTCTCTTCCTTCTCCCCTCTCAATTACCCCTTTCTTCCCTCTAATTCTCTTGCTGCCCCACCTATTTCTCTCATCTCTCGGTCTATCGCCCCCTTCCCCGCCTGTCCCAGATGAAGTGATTAATCTTGTCCTTTCCGCTACCTGTAGCCCCTCTGACCTTATGAAAAGGCAACGCACCCCCACCCCCCCAATACAATGGATGTGCTGTTCTGAAAAAGACAGACAGAAAGAGACAGAGAGACCCCGCAGACTCTGAGGGGGTCTAAGAAGTTCACCTCCACCCTAGGGAGGAAGACAAAGCTTCTGTCATGGTTGAGCTATGCGGAGATACTTCTCTGCAACACATGTGCATGTGCCCTCACGTACACTTACTAGTACACATGCACGCAAGAAAAAAAATGCATCCATGTAAATGCCCACTCTATTTTCATACTATCCTCGCTGACTAGGGATGCACCGAAATGAAATTCTTAGCTGAAGCCGAAACTGAATATAATGAACAAGTACATTCACATTTATTTTGCCTTTTTTTACCATTGCATAAATTAAATCGTCAAAATGTGCTTTACTCAGTGTACATCTGTACCAAACAAGTCTCTAGAATATGATGTGTACGTCAGTGTGTTGAAACCACTGTAGTTAGTTTTAAAGAAGAGCCTGTCCTTTTACCACAAGTTGGTCTTTACAACTCTCATTAAGTTGTGTAACCTTAACTCAGAACACAAGTTGGATGAATTTTGTTGCAGCAACATATCCTATACTGATATTTGACATTAACAATCTTTTGTAAATGTGCTTTTACTCAGTGTTTCCCACAGGATTTGGAGAGACTATGGGGGACAGGTCTGAGACCCAAGAAGGTCCGGTAAAGTAAATTACATGTGTCTATTAACTTTTAATGGACACATGTAATATGTTTTATACTTTCTGTGAATATAATCCAGTTAGCCTAATCTTATTTCCATCCTGTATAGACACTTGAAAACCGGATATTTTCACATGTGTATCCTCGTGCTAAATTCATCAAGTCGGACCCATATATAATGTTATATATATATAATGTTGTATGTGGTTCTTGTATCGCGCAACATGGAGACTTCACAGCCCTCACGTAGTGCACTCCTAATTTAGGTGCGGCTAGTTTAATCACCTTCTCATAAACAAGTGACAGAAACACTCAAAGCAGGTTGCCTTTTCTAAGAAGTCAGCCACAGATGGAGTAGATGTGCTAGGAGACAATTCAGCAGAACAGTGTCTGCCAACGGCGATTTTTGAGTCATTCTTGGACACATTAAAATGCTTCCACCTTGCCAAAATGTCAATGTAATGGTTCTGTAAAATTTTTTGGTCTTTTGGATCTTTCTGGTTAAATAAAGGTAAAATAAAAAATAATATCATCAAATGACAACAATCACTCAACCCCCTGTGCACACACACAGTCCAGATGACATCATATAGACAGTACATTGCCCGTATATATGTATATATGTGTTGTTTGTAGCACATGGAGTTTCACTAGAGATAATGACACTTGTGTATTATCTGAGGGGCTAATGTGTCGGTGAAGCAGCAGTTTTAAGTTCAAGAGAGAAACTGATGACGCCAAGATATTCAGTCAATATCAAAATGAATGCAATTAGAAAAAAAGAGACACCTTTGTGTTACGCCCTGCCCTGCCCTGTGTTGTGCTCATCGTGAAACTGTTAACCAAACCACACTAAAATGCAGCTGCCGCCTTGGGCTGCAAGTTGTACACCACTGTGAGAATCTGTACACATGCATGTATGTGTGCGTTTGTGTGGGAATGATAGGAAAAGTTTATGTGCACCTTCACTCTCTAACACACATGCACACAACAACGCAGCAACAGCCTACTATTGTTCTCAAACACCCATAAAAATGCGGTTAGCTTAGGGATTTCAGTCATTAATGAAATAAAATCAGGCCTGCTTGTTGTAGCTGGATCGCTTGTTGTTCTTCCTAGTTGGCGTGGATGGCCTCTCTCGCTCACCTCTTCCCTCCTTCTTTATCTCTCCTACAACACAGCTGTTTATTTGTTCAGCAGCAGACGGCTTATCTCTTACATTACTACCTCAACACACAGCGCTGCTATTATGCCATTAACACCAAAGGACTCTGGAACAGCGCGGCGTGCTGCCATGTCTTTGTTTTGCTGAATGGGCCACAGAATGTTGAGTTACACAAGCGCTTAATGGGGAACCCGTCCAGAATGATTGCTCGTCTGGGTGGAAGAGGTTTTGCAATAACCAAAACAATCAACAACTGCACCACATACGGGAACTTCCCAGCTCTCCATGTTGCGTCTTGGCAGCGATGTGCCACTGGTTTGGCTGGCACAGTGTTCATGCCTTAAGTGCCTGAAGGATTAATTTTCACTACCACAGTTGATACTAATTCAGATTGCTGATTCTGGCAAATCAGAACAATAGTCTTTGTTTAGTAAGTCTACACAATTCCCTGATATAAGTAATGACCTGAGGGCACTAAATGTACTCTCGATTTACATAATATGTATACGTTTTGTAGACTAACAAAAGCAGCAGGGTGACCTTCACTTGGAAAGCAAAGGTTCAACAAAAATCTGATCTGATAGAGAAAAACAAATCCCCACAGGGATCAACTAAAGAGGTTACAATGATCTGTCTAATAAACACCTGCGAAAAGTTAAAAAAAAAAAGTTTCATCACTTTGTTACATGATACGTTATACATATCTTGGTAAGATGCCGATGGAATAATGAGTAAGCCGTGAAGTGGAAATATGGTTGATTGTGT